CCAGGCATTGCAGTGGGCGCCTGTAGTCCCAACTACTTGGGAGGCTGAGGCAAGAGAATTGCTTAAGCCCAAGAGTTTGAGGTTGCTGTGAGCTACGACTCCATGGCACTCTACCCAAGGCAACTTACTGAGTGTCTCAAACAAAAAACAAAAAGAGACGGAAAGATGAAGCTATTTGTATATCTTCTTTGGAGAAGTGTCTGTTTAAGTCCTTTGTCTACTTTTTGAATTGGGTTGTATATTTTTGTTGTGAATCTTCTGGCTCTTCTCAGATATTTGCTCTGCAAAGTTTTTCTCCTATCCCGTGGGTTGTCTTTCCACTCCCTTGACATATCCTTTGATGCAAAAATGTTCTTTAATTTTGCTGAAGTCCAGTTGATTTTTTCTTTTGTTGTTGAGTGTCCTTATCTTTTTCAAAAAAGACAGTAATAACCACCTGATCTACGGGCTTGTTGTGAAGATTAACACATGTTAATACACATAAAGGGATAGGATAGTGCTGGCCACAAGCAGCACTCCATTAATGTTAGCTATTATCCAGGCTAAGCATATAGTATGAAACCCAAGGGTCAACGGGATAGAATTAGGGCATGTGAGAGGTAAGGCCAGAGGAGTAGAGGGTTTCAAGAAGAGCATGATCAACAGCATGCAATGTTGCAGAGATGGCAAAAACAAAGTAACTTAGACATGGCACCTAAAAGATTAGGCAGTGGTGTGAGAGGGGCAGATGCCAAATTATACTGGGTGGAGAAAATTTGCTAAGCCCTTTCTGGTTTCCAGGGCCAGGTCTCCGGCTGTTTCAGCTCTTAGGACACTTCAAAGCAAGACTGAAGCTGTGAGACTTTGCAGAAAGAACATCAGAGTTGGAGTCAGAACAACCAGATAAAGTCTCTGGTCTTCCACCACTTAACCTCTATGATCCCTCCCAGGGCTCTAGCTCCTTCACTCTTAGAGGCCTATTTAATAAGGCCATTTACAGGCTGCAGTGAAAGATAAGCATAACAGTAAACCATTAATTATTAAATGCCATTATTAGTGACTTCCTTCTGACTCCTCACCTTGTCCTAACAATTTAACACTGTAGTTCTTCTAGCAAACCAGGTCCCACCAGGCTCAGACACCTGGGAAGTAGAGTATTCCCATCTTACAGATAACTGGCTTACAGGTTTGCCATGGTGCTAGGATGTGATTAATATACATAAAATGCTTTCAATGTTATTGACTGCTGTTTTATTCTAATGGAAAGTTTTGGCCTGGTTGTTAGTAATGCCTCTATCTTTGCGTCCACGTCCTGGGCCACTGCATTCCTCATAGTTTGTGATATCCACCAACTTGCCCAACCTCAGCCATTGCCATAAAAAGCAAGTGCTTATACATATCATTGAACATACCCATGGATCTTTTTGTTCACTCTGTTTTGGTTGTAGACGTAAGAACACATGTTAACTGATTTGTGAGTACAAGGCAGAAGTTCTGTTGAAGAATTTCATCTGCTGGTGAGTAAACAGAACACGATGCTCCTGTTGAGTCCTCCAGCTACCAAAGCAGAGATGTTTTCAGTGGAGTAACTATGTGCAGTCCCAATCCCTTTCACCCTTATGCCCCACATTTCAGGGCAGGATCTAAGTCATATCATATTTATTTAGTCTGGTTTGTACCCTGTTGTCTGGCTCCTGTGTATTTTTTTTTAAGGTTTATATCTCCTTTTGATTTATGATATATCCTAAGATAACCTCAGGAAGAAATACATTTTGAAAATAGAGAGTGGCCATAAAGTTTGGCCACCCTGTTTAATAGGAAGAAATTCTATAAATACTTGAATGGTTTTTTAA